TGACTGGTGCTCTTATCCCAGAGTATGAGCCAGGCGTTCCATCCCAATGCCTGAGACCTGGGTGTGCTCCACAGGGCCAGCCTGACCAGCCTCTGGCAGGCGTGAGCAAATTGCAGGCGTCGGAATCTCAGGGTTCTCTATTCTGAATGGAGCCAGTCTGGGTTTTGGTAAAAGCTTCAGCTCAAATGGTTAAATTGCCTGATTGCAGCAAGACAGCTTTGTGTTCTGATGTCACTGATGATGTCAGCACAGCTCTGACAGTGGGGATTTTTTCTCGTGGTGGCATTTTGGAAAAGCAAAAGTACAAAGCGGTTTTTTTTATGAATGTTTCCTAGCAAAACAGCATTTCATTTTTTATTTTTTTTGCATGAAATTCCTTTTGCTGTGGTAGTGTACTATAAAATTACGCCATTCTTAAACTAGTTTTTTCAATTAATGAAATTACTGGTTGTAACATTTTCTGCAAAAAAAAAGTGATTATTTAAGAATATAGTTAATATATAACTGAGCCTAGTGGATTATCTTTAGGTCAGAAATACTTTGGCATTGGGGGACGTTGGAAGAAGGAGAAGAACCCTGGCTCTTAGTGACCTGTGTATAGTATTTATTTGTTACAAAAGGTGAAGCTGAGCATTTAAGACTATTTTCAGTTCAAATGTTTGATGCAGAAGGGTTCTTAAGGATTTTTTGTCTATTTTTAGGCTTGCATACAATATTGCTATGAAGTGAGTCCCTTTCTCCACGTTTGGTTTTATCAAGAAGAAATACAGGTGCTCACATCTGAGCTTTGGTAGATTTGTGTACTTACTGTATATTCATTTGTCTTGAGATTATACTTGGCAATGTTCCTCTAAAGATATTTTGATCAAAAGTACATGCATGGTATGCTCAATCGTGTTCCTATTATTCACTGAGCATGTAGACTGTATTTTATATCTTACAGATGCAAAAGCTTATGAGAGCAGCTAGAGAAGGTACCAAAGATGGTCTGGAAAAGACAAAAGCAGCTGTGAAAAAGGGTCGTTCTTTCATTAGAACAAAATCTTTTATTTCTCAAGGTATGTGCTAATTATTCTGTGTTTGTTACTGTCTCTCATCATTTCTGAGAAAGGAAGTGAATGACCTAGCAGGTTTTTGTAGTGGGAGCTGAGCACTGAATGATTAAATCAGCATTATATCAACAAAGTATGGTATAATGTTCAGTTCAGATGACAGTATGGAAGCAGGTCAATGCAGCTTCAGGAGTTTTGGTTTTGGGGCCAGAACCTCAATGACCTGAGGACTATGGAGAAGGGTCCACTTAAAAACAACAAATCACACCAAACTACGTCATAAATTCTATCCAGGTATTGGTGTATGGGAGTATGGAACTGGAGTTAGGGTACTAAGTCTGACCAATTCCCTCCATTGAGTAATTCCTTTCTGAATGTCAGGAAGGTCTACTGTTATGACATGGTTTTCAGTGGAGTGAGAGTTGACTATTTAAAAGGTTTGTCATGGCCAAGGGATAACAAATGCTTTCCGTGCTTAGGAGTGAAAGTAAGGGAAGGAACTGTTCTGCTTTATGACAGCTTGGTGATTTTTGATGAAAGCTGAGTTTGGATTAGGAAAACAGGAAGTGGTCTAAAATAAAAAAGCTTAAAGTATTTGTGTTCTTTCTCTAGTCAAGGACAAACATCAGCCCTCTGTCACGAGCTTCAGCAGCAGCAGTCCACAGTTAATTTTTGCAAGTGGCAGGGGGTAGTAACTGAATACAAACTTACTTCTTCTTCAGAATAAATCTGGTAGTATGTCCAACTAATTGAATAGCTGTACCTTCAGAGCTTATAAAACCACAATTTTAGGAAGCAAAAACCACAAGACTGAAACTGGACAGTTTTAGTGAGGAAGCTAACATAAATCCTATCTTTAAAGACCATTACACACCTTATATCCCTGTCATGACTTCTAACTGCTTCTGAACTTACCTAATTCACAGGCAGAAAATAGGAATTAATTTGCACAAACTTTAGTGATCAAAAATGTATCTTCAACTTCTTTCTGTAGCATAAGAAAAAATTAGCAGCTTTAGCAGGGCAGTGTTGCGGTGGGCCTGGCGTTCCTATTTACAGATCTAGAGATGAGGTAGCAGACACAGGATATCTATGGACAGTTTAATCCCCTAGCAACTTAACAAATCACCAGGGAGCTAGTGCCAAATTTGTCAAATACACTCCTAAATTCCTCCCAGCCAACAGATCTGCTTCCCTTGCTTCCGTTTTTGTTCGAAGACTCAGTATCTCATGCTGTTCTTTCTTTTCTCTCTCCTTTGCTGTGTCTGCTGGTTTGGCTGGCTGTGTACTGCCACCTATCACTGCACTTAGGTGGTGCTTTTTGCTCAGTAGTAGTACGTAGGGGAGCAGAGCAGAATCCCTTAGTGTCATATCTGACAAAAGTTAACATTGTGGTACGTTTGGTTACTTAGTTTAGTGATGCAAGGGTTTATAGAATTTTTAAACCTGGACCATATTATGGGTGTGTTTAATTCCTTTCAAAGGCCTTTATTTCAAAACTGTGTCCCTGAAGCTGCAGGACTTTAACCCTAGTTGTCATCTCCTATGCTCTGGACAGTGTGCACTTCTGGCGGTGAACAGGGAGTAGAGGTCAAGCAGAACATGCATAGGCTGTCTCCTGCCTTATAGATTTTAGGATTCTGAGAAACCTTTGAAGGTTGTTCTGTATTGGAGCACCTATTGTTGGTGGTATTCGTGGGATTTCACAGATGATACATGAATGCTGGGAAGTGACTTTTGTTTGATAAGTGAAAATGAGACTGCTGTGTATTTACTGTGCTTGAATGATAGGCTCCTTGTGTTTGTTTTTTTTTACCTCTTTGTGTCTACATGTTATAAAAGTTGACATTTTGGTTTTTCAATTATTTGTAGATAATAGATCATCATGTCTGGAAGAAGAGCTAAATTTATTTATTGATGTGGACTGTATGCATACAGAAGCAATTATGACTCCAATGCCTGAAGGATTATCACAGGAGCAGGTAGTAGGCTTTTGGAAATACTGTCTTCTGCCTCTTTTCCTCCCCTTCTACTCTGCATCAATGACTCCCAGAGTTGCTTTTAAATCATATTGGCATTTACCATAAATTAGGTGAACATAAAATTCAGAACTGAATAAACAGTTTTTTGAAAATGGTATGTGTGCATGTAAGTGCATCAGCCCTGAATTCAGCCAGAGATGCAAAATGCTGTTTTGCATTATATAATTATCTATAATATTTTTTCACTACCTGAACACTTAAACTAAATATGATTGCTTTGAGTGAAAAAGAAGAGTTTAAACGTTTGTATTGAGTCAGAAAACATTGCTCCAGGTTTTCTGTTTTAAATGTAGAGAATATCCAATGTACTCCCTGAATCTTAAGGTCTTTGAATCTTAAGATTTTTTCTGAATAAAAAAAACAACTTGCAATGAAGTTAAGCCTACAGAAGATTATATTTTGCTGTTCTCCACTTCAAACTTCATAGTCACTGTGGAAACCACTTCAAAAACACTGAAATCAGCATCAGTTAGAAATTTTGGCTGAAAAGAAATTCTGTGCATTTGTGGTACTGTGTTTTTACAACAAGAAATAATGGTTTGAGAGTTTTTTGCTTCTTTTGGTGTCAAGTCATGAGTTGGTCAGTGTCTTCAGAAAGTGAGCAAAAATCAAATTAGGGGCAGTTGAGGAGAGTGATGTAAGTTTTTGGGTTTGCTTGATGAGGTTTAGTTTTCTAATGCGATTAGCACATTAAAGTGCTAATCTTGGAACAATGCAACTATCAAGCTGTGTGTTACGATTTCATTATAGTGTAAGATCTGAATGCTCTCCACATGTGGGTTTGAAGTTTGAGTTTCACAGGTTTCTTTGTAGGTCATTAATAATAAACATACCCTCTTTTAGAAAAACAGTTTACTCCAAACTAAGAGCTCTCTGGTAATTGTTGTGTAGGCCATTATGTTTGTTACTTATTGGACCCAGGAGGAGCTGCCCAAGTGGACAGGGATGGAGTTAGGAAAGTCAAGGCTTAGCTGGAACTAGTGCAGCAATAAGGGCAACAGTAAAATGCTTCTCATTTGTACAGTGACAGGGAAAGGAACGCTAAGAAAAATATGGGTCTGCTGCTTGATGGAGCAGGGACGTAGTGACAAAAGACACTGAAAAGACCAAGGTTCTCAGTGCCATCTTTGTCTCAGCTTTTAGTGGTAAGGTTTATCCTCAGGCCTCCCAAGTCCCTGTGCCTAGAGGAATGTCCTGCTGTAGTGAAGCAGTAACTGCAGTTAGGGGACACTGTGGCCAGCTGGACATACAGACCCGGTCTGTGGGACCAGGTGGGATGGCTGAGGTTAAGGCCTTTCTCTAAGATTACAGGGATCAGATGACTGATAAATGTCATGTCCATCCTCAAGAAGAGCAAGAAGGAGAAAAACTAGGGCTTGGCTGGCCTCATATATAGTCTGTGTGAAGATGAATTTTACTGCAAGAGTGACAGAGCACTGGAACAGACTGCCCAGGGAGGTTGTGGAGTCTCCCTCACTGGAGACATTCAAAACCCACCTGGATGAGTTCCTGTGTGATGTACTCTAGGTGACCCTGCTCTGGCAGGGGGGTTGGACTAGATGATCTCTCGAGGTCCCTTCCAGCCCCTAAGATTCTATGATTCTATGATGGAGCAAATGATCCTGGGAGCTATTTCTGGGTTTGTAAGGACTGGAGGGCGATTTGGAACAGTCGTCATAGGTGGACCAGAGTCTGTTTGTGCCTGACCAGCATGAGTCCCTTTGAAATGGCAGGCTTGCAGAGAGGGGAGAGTAGAAGGTGTTATTTACCTCTGCTTTAGTTAGGCTTTCAATGGTCTTCTGAAGTACCCTTGGAGCCATGTAGGTGAGCTATCATTTGTATGGATGGACTAGCAGGTGGGTGGAAAACAGGAGAGGATACTGTGTTCAGAGGATTGTAGTCTAGAGTACAGAGCACTGGTGGGTGACCAGTGTTAGTGGTGTCCCTTAGGAGCAGATACATGGACCGTGGTGTTTAATGCCTCTATTAAAGATCTGGATACCAGCTGTGGGCCACATTTGAATGCGATTCCAAAGTGAAGGGATGCAGCAGGCTATGGGGGGGGCGGGTTGAGGCTGCTGGTCACCGTGGCTTTGGCGGGCTGAGGTTGACAGGAAACTCTGGCAACACAACAGAGACCGACACAAGTCCCGGCTGAAGGACGAGGTAGCTCTGAGCTACGGCTCAGGGCAGGGGCCAGCAGACTCTGCAGCAGCCCTGGGCATCTCGGCTGGAGGGAGTAAAGTCCAGAAGCCCCGATCAACCTGGTCCCCTCTTCTACGAACAAGATGACTTTATGAATGTGCGTGTTTTAGACAGCAGGTGGCATGATAGCTTTTGTTTAAATACTACATCCTGCATTTGGTCTCATTTTAATACTGGAACCTGAATTCTTATGACAAGTTGTTTATGTTTTTATGCTACTGTTACTAGCAAAAGTATGACTGTAAATGTCAGACTTGCATACAAGCCTCTTGTAAGTTGTATGTAACATAATATTGCTATTGGAATAAACTGTAGGCACTGTTAGGTAACTATTTTGTGTATTATAGAAAATCCCTTTTTCAACATATGTTTATTCTTTTCAGAAGAATGAACTGTGACTGAAGTTAGTAGGTAGTATCCTTTACCAGAGCAGCTGATATATCAAATAAGACACTGCTAAATCAGTTCTAAACACAAATTAGACACAGCTAATTTTACCATATATATCTTTAAGTAAGACCTCAGATAATTTTGAAGTCTTCCCTTGAAATGCCAGCACTTGAAAGAAAACCTTTGCATAACTTAATTTAATAATAACTGCACTTAATAATGCAAAAGACAAGTGTGGAGAATTAAAGGCAGCCATGGGAGAGGAGGCAAGGAGGCCATGGGGATCAGGAGCAGAGTGTTGGCTTAAAATAGCAAAAGAAGCAGTTTTGATTTCCCTTGCAGTTGTGGGAAGTGGTTTGATCCTGCCCTTGTGCCGTCTTCTCCCTCAGAGTCCTGCATTTGAAAGCCCTGGGATGAACTGGATTAGGAAATGGATTTGCGTGAAAACAGATCCTTAAAAACAGCAAGAAATCTTATCAGTAATAGTAAGAAGTTTAAATTTTAAACCAATTAGGTTCCCTAGTCCTTCTTGTCATGTCACCTGCACATGCATACAGTGTGTGTTTCAGCTGAACTGTGGAAGCAGGAGGTGGAGAAGGAGGTGTGATAAATAGCCTGTAGTTTGTAATCGTGAAATATGCTGGCATTTCCTAAAGCTCTCACAACTCTATTAATTGGTATGAAAGTAGATGAGACAGGGTTTTCACTTACACATGGCAATGCCCAAAAAAGAAAGCTGCCTGACTTAGATACTTTCTTAGTGGTACAGTTTGTATGACCTTACCTTAAAAAGGCAACTTATGTTTGCTTGTTTGTTTTTCAGGTTGCTCCTGGTAAATTTGTGAAATGTATTAAAAAAAGAAAATTAATCTGAAGATTGATTTTTGAAAACTGGTTACCTGTTTTTGGTGGAGCAGTTGACCAGTGTAGCCATGTTATCTATACATATCATCTTTTATATTAATGCTTAAACGTACAAATCTGAAATCAAAATACAAGTTTCAAAAGTAAAGTTTGGAAATGCAACAGTCAGTAAAGATTACAGATATGGATGCAAGAAATGTAATTTCCTTTTAAATAAATAAATAATTTTACAGTAATAGTAAGTGTAATTACTTTTGAAGTAGTACAGTAGTATTTTATTGCGGTTCCAGTATTGAAGGAAATTGCTTTGTGTTTCTAGGATTTTAGTAATGTTAGAATTTTATCATCAGTATTCCCAACTGTGATGAAAAAGTTACCTGATGAGAGGTTCAGACAAAATTTTGCTTCTTAACAGGTTGTAAGAAGGTATATTTTGGGCTCTGTAGTTGACAGTGAGAAGAATTATGTGGATGCTCTCAAAAGAATCCTGGAGGTACCTTAATATCTTTTCCATTTTATAATTTGGAAATTTGAAAAATAATTAAACCCTTAAAGAATCTGTAGTATGACTCGCATAGATTTTGCTAAAGGTGCTTCATGCCAGATGTTTTGAAATTTTGTCTGCATACTGTTAAATACATTGTCTTTTTCTGCTTGCAGAAGGCCCCTTTTTTGTTAGCTTGTTTAAATCTATTTATGTGTTTGTTTTTTTCTTCCCTCACAGCAATATGAGAAGCCTCTTTCAGATATGGAACCAAAATTATTGAGTGAAAGAAAACTTAAAATGGTCTTTTATCGAATTAAGGAAATTCTTCAGTGCCATTCAATGTTTCAGATCGCGCTGGCGAGTCGTGTATCTGAGTGGGACTCTGTTGAAATGATTGGTGATGTCTTTGTTGCTTCAGTAAGCAAGTGCATCTGAACAGATAATCTGTTTATTTTAGGCTTGTTATTCCATCCCTGTGTCCCTCTGTCTAACTTGGCCATTTTATTCCCATGTTCTCTAATGGCTGTGGCAACTGTCAGAGTATGTATATACCATCCTGATAAGAAAACTGACACAAAGATCTCTCTGTCTTGGTTGGAAGTTGTGAAATAATTGCGGGCAATTTTTTGAGGCTTTGTTCAAGCTTTCAGACATTTAAGTAAACACTTTGTTTTTGTGAGGAGGTAGAGATTCACAAACCCATCAAAATTAGGGTGAGATTGAGACTTTTAAAAAGTACATAATCATACATGTTTGTTGGGAGTAGAAAAAAACACAGTAGGTGATGCCCTGAATTCCTGAATTTGAACTGAGCCTGGGGCACAGATAAAGTGTATTTGTGAAACACTACCCTACCCTGAATAAAAGTCCATCCATTAAAGACTGAATTAAATGAGAGAAAACAAGAAACGGCCTGGGTTAACAGAGACATTTTTCCCACCATGAGTGAGTGAGTGGAGAATGCTGTCAAAGAGCTGGTTTAAGTACTTTGTTTTGTTGCCACTCAGCTGCTGGAAGTTACCACCTTTCCATGCCTGCTGTAAGAAAGCTTAGATCCATGTCTCTGAGTGGTTTGGCCCCATTTCAGTCAAAATGAAACAGTTGCTACAGATTTGCTGTTTAAAGTAAACCTGTCTTGTTTTGACTGAAGCAAGTTGAGTAGTAGCATTAATGAGACCATCTTTGCAGAAGAAAAGGGCAGAATTACTAAGAAGGCAATGATCTTACCCTTCATATGGCTGTTTGCAGGCCACACAATCTGCCTGCTTTCCTGGTAAAGCCTTACCAGCTGAAGATGGAACATGAAGGCCCTGAGACTATAGAAAGTTCACCAAATCTGGGAGACAGGCAGCCGTGAGATGATCAGAGGTTCCCAGCAGCCACTTTGAGTCTCAGTGGATGCCCTTTGATTTCCCATAGTCCCCAGGCTCTCTTCTACTGTCATAACCAAGATCAAGCTATTTCTGTAAATTTACATTTTTTAATTCATGGCTGTTATGTCTTTAGGTAGAGTCCTTATCAGTCAGAGGTTTGGATAGTTATGCTTTCAGGGATCTCTTCTATTTATAGTTAAAATATACAATTTTATGTTTTCAGTTTTCAAAATCTATGGTGTTGGATGCCTATAGTGAATATGTAAACAACTTCAGTACAGCAGTAGGGATTCTCAAGAAGACGTGTGCTGCCAAACCTGCTTTTTTAGACTTCTTAAAGGTGAGTTCAGTCAATATTAAAAGAGCTTGGCACGTGATATAAATAAGAGAGAGCGTATTAGAAGTTAGGAGAAAAATACTGTGTACTGTGTGACTGTTTTAAGGAGTTTGGTTTTATGGGTTTGGAACAAAAAATCCCCAGAGGTTTCCTTTCCACTACCATATTTTCAGAAAAATCCCATGAGGTTAGTTAGATCTAGGATGTATTTTGAAGTGCAGAGTGGTTTTGTTGTTCAGATCAGCTTATTGGCATTCGCATGACTGTACTTGGATAAACACTGGAATTCTTTCATAGCAACTGAGCTTCAAGTAATAGTTCACCATCTGAGGCCTCCTCTTATTTGAGATTTCTTTTACTTCAAACTTCTTTATTGTATTATGCAGAGTAGTTAACTAGATTTCCATTCCACAACAATTTCCTGGTATTTTGAAAATGATGTTTCCAGTTTGGGGCTGGAATTGAAAATTGAAATTTTCTGTGCAGAATGCATGCTTCCCTGATGATTTGCATTGAGAGCCTGGTACATGCAAGTAAAAGTGCTGCAAATCCTTAGAGATGATACCTTACAGAGGGTAAACAAAATCTGTTGCAAGGCTTTTAGGCAGTAATACTGCTGAGAACCTGGAAGCTCTTCTTGTCTCATTCCTCGAGAGTCGTGGATTGAGTTGAGCCTCTTGGAGCTGTCACCCTGTCAAGTCTGTTGTAGAGGTCCACCAAACACTGAAATTGGATGCCCTAGGCAAACTAAATAATGAAGCTCTCAGGTTGCCAAGAGGAGGTTGGCAGGGGGACTGATTCCTGATATGTCTTCAGATTCTGAGATTAACTAGCAACTTTTTTGAGTGTGGCCAACACGACATGTGATTACATTCTAGAAGCCTTAGGCAGCATGAAGATCAAACTAGTGAGCGTGTAGTCACTTCATACCTCTCACATTGTTAAAAGCTTGTTGCTCCAATAGAGGCATAATTTAAACCTCCCATCATGGCTTGTCATTGCAGGCACTGGTACTGGTCAGAGCTGGGGACTCTCCATCCAGCTCCAAGGACAGAAAAGATTTCTGTACTTTGCTTTTTATGTTTGCTTATCAGCAGTGAAGACTGGAATCTTCACTGCTCTGTCTGGGGGAAAAAAATAAATACATGTTTGTGGAGATAAATACGGAAACAAATTGTTGTGAGGCTGGTATTTGTAAGAATAAATAGCAATTTAAGTACAACACCAGTTTTATATTGTTTAGGTTTGCTTTGTTTTAAATATTGAGTATTTTCTCAACTCTCCTTGTTTCGGGTTAGCTATGATTCTAGCCAAAATATTTCCAAATGCTGAAATGTCTTATACAAACAGGGCTTTTCTGCACATGCACATAATTTTTTTCTAGTTTTATCTGCCAGTCTCAGTAACCAAAATAATGGATTCTTACATTTTTCTTTCCAAACATAAATAAATTTTCTTTCCCTTAAGTTTCTTTCAATAAAGAAAATGAAAATATCTTTCTGCTTGCATAGCACTGAGATTATGGTGTTTTTCTTAGATTTCCTCTTAAAAACATACAGGTAGTTAGAGACTTAGAGTCTCTTAGCCCCAAGAAACAGAGTAGCAATAGTAAATTGTGGACTATAAATCAGCAGATCACTTACGTGTTTAAAATGTAAGACCTTAAACAAGTACATTCCTTTTGTTGTGCTCTAAGTTAAGCAGCTGTTTCAGTGCACTGTTCATGTGAAAACATGAATGTGCTGTATCAATGCATGCATAGGTGCTGTATTGCTGGTGTGGCTTTATCCCACAAGTATTTATTTATTTAAGGAGGAGATTGCAGTTTAGTGTCACGCTATCATTTTAATAGGATGATAGAATCAAGGTTGGAAAGACCTTCAAGATCGTCAAGTCCAACCGTCTGCCCTACAACCCCTAATCACCAAACTATCTCCCAAAGCACCATGTCTACCTGTTTTTTTTTAACACCTCCAGGAGTGGTGCCTCTCCCCCCTCTCTGGGCAGCCTGTTCCAGTGCCTCACCACTCTTTCTGTGAAGAAATTTTTCCGAATATCCAATCTGAACCCTGGTCCAACTTGACCCCACTTCCTCTTGCCCTATCACTAGTCATTAGGGAGAAGAGTCCAAATTACATAAAAGAATTTTCAAGAAATGTTTTCCTTTCATTTTGTAACTAGTGGAGATATGCTCACAGTAAGCAGTGTGGCTTTCTTGTATTGCAGCAGTGCCAGGAGTCAAGCCCTGATAGAATTACTCTGTATGGTTTAATGATGAAACCTATCCAGCGCTTCCCACAGTTCATTCTACTATTGCAGGTAAATAATTTTACCAAAGGAAAGAGTTTATCTGCTTGTTGCATTCTTATGTGGTTTGTTTGTGGGATTGTGTGGTAGCTGGCTCCAGCTAGAGGAGCACATTGCAGTGGAAGTGACCACTGGATCATGGGGAAATAAAGAAAAAATGTGAGTGCATCATAATGTGCTAACCTTGTAGTCTGATCACAGGAAAGGCAGTAAATACACTGCAGGAAAATCTTAATAAACTAAATTTACTCTAGATTACTTGCTAGATTAGATTAGTTTGTGATCACTTTGCAGTTAAACCATAGTTCAAATATGTGGCTTTTTCATATAATTTCATTAGCTAATAACACTTCAAAACACCACTAGTAACTTTGTGGCATTACTTTCCATTTAAGAAAATTACAAGAGGATGTCATTCACACTTTGGATAGTTCAGAATGTATTTGGGATGTGTAACAAAAGCATGCTCTTTCCCTGACTGCTTGGCTCACAGAACCTGCTGGACTGTGTTGTAGCTTTCTTCTGTCCTGCAGCATCTTGTTTTCCTTCCCATGGGAACTGAGGAGTTGACGGAGTCCTCAGGTCTATGCTGGGAGGTGAGCTGCAGGAAGAGCACAGTTCCCAAGTGTAGACCTGCTCCAGACCAGCTTATGCTGTTTGTTAATTTTTTCAGACCATGGCAGGTCTATCCCAGTGAGTGCTCCAAGTTAGCTGTATTTTCAGGTGCTACAGCTTTGGGATACAGGTCCAGAAATTACAGTGAGAGAAGGAGCAGAGGCAGTCATGGGGGAGCATGTGGGTAGCTAGCGGTGGCTAGAGTGTGTGAGTTAGAAGAATAAATGGAGTGTATTGCAGCAGGAAACTGTAGTGAATACATAGGGATTTTTAGTACTTTTTAGGAAAGAAGCAAAATTTTAATTCAAATTGTTCTACCGCATGCCTACAGAAAGGAAGGATATATAGAAGCTCTTGCAACCTCCAAGAAGTACTGTCTCCTGTTTTGCTGTCAGTACAGAGAAGAAGAATAGTAGAGGAGAATAGTAACTGTAGTAAATATAATACAATGTTATTATGATAGTAAATATCAGAAAAGCTTAATTTAAAATAATTGTTTACAGACACCTACACATTATACTATAATATTTATTTTTAAATTGTGTGTGTTTTTAAATTTACATGTGCGTTTTTCACACTTATTTTCAAGTACTAGTCTTCCTGTAAATAAGCAGTATGTGACCCCATTCGGTATCTTAAGAAGTGTTATGATATTCAGGAAAGTGCTGTGCTATCTGAATATTCATTAGATGCTCTTGTTCTGTACTAGTACTTAGGTAAAGAATGTAGAAATAACATTACATTCTGTAATCTTTGGAACTTGACTTTGAAATTAAATTGTTTGTTTGTTTGTTTTTGTTTTTCTTTGTCTTATCACTTCCCTTAGGATATGTTGAAGAACACTACTAAAGGACATCCTGACAGGTTACCTCTACAGATGGCTCTTACAGAACTTGAAACATTGGCAGAGAAGTTAAATGAAAGGAAAAGGGATGCAGATCAGCGCTGTGAAATAAAGCAAATAGCAAAAGCAATGAACGAACGTTATCTGAACAAGGTTAGGGAGTAATAATGTGTCATGGGAGAGTTAGTATATTATTAGTTTTGGGCTGTGAGCAAGCTTTAGAACACTTTAGACACTGAAGAACCTGAGGTTCTCCTGTAGTGCCCAACAACATGGGCATCTAGCTGCGGGTGTGAGATATGATCTTCCTCCAGGACTGAATAGGCTAATTGGTTAAATCACTGTGTGCTGGAGCAGGCAACATGCTGAAATAGCAGCAGCAGTATTAGTGATCTTGGGCAGTCTGTAGATAAAGCTGTTTCTTGCTCCTTTGATAAAGCCTCATGCATGTCTTCTGAATTTTGAATTTAGCCAGGAACCGAGGAATTGCTCCTGTATAAAGGAGGGAACCAGTTCCTTATACTGCAGCACTTCTGACTATGGAGCAGTTCAAAATACACTGTTGCATGTGTCCAACATCTTCCTTGTTTTTAGAAACATTTCAGTCTATCTCATCCATGTGTTCTGATCATTCAATAGAAATGCCTTTAAAGAATTAAAGTTTTTTAAAGGCAGTTAACAACTTCTTCATTTGAGTTTGTCAGTAGCTATCCATACTGGGGATGTATGTATGCTTGTCTTATTTTCATTATGCATGTTTCTTCCTTTCCCATGAAATGGGGTATATATTCTTCAATTACTGCTTTCATGAGGTTACAAATTATTATATTGCACTCATTCTGGGGTGGAATTATGGGAACATGCTGAAGGAGTGGAAGGAGTATTTGTGATTCATAAAAACATAGTTTTGAGGAAAGAAAGTAGTCAACCAGAATGCACTTGGTTTAGGCTATTTGTAAAAAATGAGATACTGAATTTATTGTCATACTGAAGCAGTATTTCCATTTTAAGTGTATTGAAAGATGTATTCAGAAACTTTCTAGTTTTCATAACCCTGCTTCTTGAAGTGGCTGCTAATCATCTACAAATGGTTGAAGGAGTTCAAGACACAGTGCTTTTTAAGAGATGTTGCAGGTTTCCTTTTGTTATTCTATATAAATGATCCAATATTGTATCTTCTGCACCTGGGGGACAAATTGAGATATGTGGATAGTTACTCCAAATCACATAAGGCCCTGTGTGCCTTGTGGCTTAATAGCTTTGGAATAAGGCCAGTCAGGGTGAAACAGGCAGTGAAGGAGGTGGATGGATGGGAAACGGGTGAGTTACAGATCATTTTGTTCTCTTGGCCACTGCGGTGTAGTTGACCTGTGAGAATCAGTTCATGCTTGCACACAGTGCTGATCCTCAGACCTTGAAGGCAAATGACAGGAGCAATTTGCATGCCATACATCTTCTGTGTGTGTTACCTTCTCGGCAACCTGTGGCAACCTGCCAGCCACACTCCTCAGCTGCTTCTGTGAGCCCAGACAGAGCAGGTAGGAGAACTGTTCTTCCTCCTGCTTTGAGATGGCTGGGACCATGCATAGCACCTCAGTAGGATGTGAAAGAAGGGATAAGGGAAGGAAGCAATAGAAATCTTGAAAGTGATGATATTTTTCACTAGGGGACCTTTAAAGATTTTCAGAGCAAATATATTCCATGTTAAGATCAAGACCCCCTGTAGGTTGTATTGCTGGCAGCAGAAGTTACTGTTCCTGTAAATGAAAAGCAAATCACTAGAGAGGTTTAACTCACCTATCAAATCCACCTGCAAACACTTGTACGAGGATGGCAAATGATAACATGTTGTATTCTTTTCTTCCCACGTGCCTCCCCCCCCCAGATGTTGGTTATACCATGTATAATGTACTATGTTGATTGTTTTTAAAACCTAGCTACTCAGCAGTGAAAACAGATACCTCATACGGACTGATGATATGGTTGAGACAGTTTACAATGATAAAGGAGAAATTATAAAAACCAAAGAACGACGAATTTTCATGTTAAATGATGTGCTGATGTGTGCAACAGTAAATGTTCGGTAAGATTTGCTTCATATATTTAAATGATTATTCAAGCTTCAACTGGAATAAGTAACATTTCCTGAACATTTTTATTTTTACCATGGCTGATGATTTCTGGCAGTAGTCATAATAAATTGATAGCTAGCATTCTTACAGTCCTCTAAATTGTCTGCTGATGTTTGGAAGTTGTAAATTTGTAAGAAAAACATGAGAGTTGGAGATTGTAGAGAAAGATGCTCTTCAGTGTCTAGTTATTGCTGTACATTAGTCTTCAGTGGAGTGCAGGCATGCCAATTTATGACTTTTTATTCTCCCTTAAATTTATTCTGTCAAACACACAAATCTGTAACTTGACACAAGCCGCGAATTAGAAAAAACCCACCAGAACAAAAACCAAACCACAAAACTAATGTATGTAGTTGGGAAAAACCTGGAACACACAAAAAAAGTTCAGCAGAGGAAGGATTTTTCTCTCTGAGATCAAACATTGAAGGATTAAATCTGAGGTGCTTTGAAGAAAGCATTTTTTCATCATGCCTTCAGTGGTTTGGTTCACTGTAAGTATCACTGTTACTATACGTCTGTGTATGCCAAGGTCACACATCTTCAGATGTTGCTTGTGTCATAAATTGCTTTATGTGATGTTACATTCTGACAGAGAAAATGGGGACCATTAAAATCTTCCAAGAAAAGCTTTTCTTAAGTATAATATGAGTTGATATCTGAGTTTCATACTGAAGTATGAACACAGTACATATTCTTGTAGCCGTGTGAATGCTTGGTCTCCTATTAGTGAGTGAGAAGTGCCATGGTGTAACAGCACTTCAGAAAATTAACAAGCTTATGTCAATTAGGCGGTGATTCTTTTCCTTTACAAATTCTTCAGTCCTTCAGTAACACTTGCGTATTTTCCCATGGTTGTTTGCAAGAAAATTGCCTTTAACTGTATTTTATCTTCTTTCATGCCATCATTGTCTTGGATTTTCTGTAGTTGTCTCTGAAGTGGCCATGTGCAGTCTGTTTTCTTTTTCCATGTGAAAAGCTCATGATTATGCTGAATCTCTGGGTTGCTTATGAAGTCAACAGTTCTAGTTATCACAGCACTGTTGTTGCCATGGATATTAACTGGTTCTGAGAAACTTCCTTTGGGATGGTAATAGGGTATGCATATATCATGGGGGTTTGCTAACTCTGAAGAAGTTTAATTATGGTTTTCTTTAGCAGTTAAGGTTTGATTTCCATCTGTACATTTATGTAACAGTGGGCTTTTAGAGTAGTTGAACGCACTTTTAGCTTTAATACCTGATTACCTCAGGGTGTTCAGTTGCAGATGGGGTTCACCTAGAAGCTGTGTGTGTGGGTTTAGGATTCCTCCATTATTTCATTGACTGCTCCTGGATTTTTTTCTACAGAAGGAGCTACCTTTGTTATGCAAATATATAGTTAAGAACTGAAGGAAATTATCTGCCAGATTTCACATATGACACCTGTATCCAGCCTGGAAGTTCTTGTTCAAAATCAGCACATGCTATAGAATGTACTGCTTGCGTGATTGGCTCATGCAGGATAAGCTTTATTTCTCTTCATTTTAGCTGTATAGAAGTTAGGCATCATACCTAAGCTAAGCTTCTGTTATAGCAGTGGTTTTCAGGGTGCATGCCTGCAGATGTCCTGTGAAGCTGTAGACTTCTTCAGATGCTTTACATGTACAGATATGCTCAGTATGTGTCAGCTCACTTTTCTTAACCACCTTTTGTCCAACCTGTACAGAAACAAACATCCTGGGAATGTGGGAACCATTGGTTCCAGACCAGTTTTGTGTAGATGGTAAAATACACGTCTTTCTACAGGGTACATAATCCTCAGAAAGGTCTTTCTTCACATGTAGTCTAGATGATGGTTTGAGCCAGGGTCCTAACTTTTAAATAGCAGGAGTTGAACAGAGTGGATACTATCCCTAGTGACAGAACAGCTGTGTCCTACCTAGTCTTGTTTTCTTCCTTCTAAATGAGATGAAGAGTTTATAAGTGTCTACTTAAGCTACAGCATCTGTGGGTTTAATTCATACTTGCCTTCTTATTGAAAGAAAAGTATGATTGTGAGGTGAATAGGTAGCTGACTTATCTGAAAATTGGTGTAAACACTTAGCTACTGTTCTCAATAAATACATTTTGCTTATTTCTCCCAAACTTCCATATTTCAGCCATGCTTCCTGTGAAGTAAACCTTCTTCTCTTTTTAACATCTCTTGTCCTTTATAATAAATGTTTGTTCCATGTTCTTGAATGTGCGTAAGGGAATGAAAAAACAATGGAAACAGAGTATTAATGCCATTGCTATTCCAAGTGAGTTTCCTCAGTGTGCTCTTGCCTCTGAAATCCCTGTTGTGATACACGCTTCCTTTTCCTGCAGCAGCTTATGTGGAATTGCTCTTTGAAGCCACAGCAGTTGCAAAGGTCTTCTGTAAAGAACATCCTGGCTGTGGAGCTCAGCAGAAATGTTAGCTTGTCAGCTCCTGAGAGGTCATGTTGCCCTTCCTGCTGCCAGTAGTCATTCAAAGGTCCCATCATCCATACTTCACTAAATGCAGCAGTTACTTCTTTAGAGCACTATTTCAGGTACTGACCAGAAAGACAGCACAATCCAAAAGAATTGGGAAAAGATAGACCCGTTATATCATCCTAAGCACTTGCATTAAGATTTTAAAACACAGACTGATCTTAAAATATGTTTTTTTTATGTTTTGTTATAGAAATGTAGGGACTGTTAGCAGTCCTGTGCTGTTTGTACACAAGATTATCTGCACCTGAATAGCTGCTCTTTGCATTCACAGGAAAGGTCATTCAGAAGTGTCAGCCAGGTGCATGTGTTTGTTTCAAGTTGCGCACAATACTCAGACTGATAAACAGCAGATTTTAGAAGCTAAAATAATAAATAGGATGCCATGAAGCATAATTGCTTGTCACAGCAATAATTTGTGCATCTTCCAGCTCTTCCTATGAAAGCAGTGGCACCATGACAACTTGCCAGAGGTATTTATTGAAGTGGAGTGTACCACTGGGACAAGTGGAAGTCATAGAATATGGCAGCGGTGAGGGCCAAGGAGAGAACTGCAGGTTTCCACCCCAGCAGTCTGCTGAAAATCTCGTCATTAACTCTAAGCCAAGTAAGTGACAGTTATTTACTTTTACAGGTCAAAGTCTCTATTTGAATTTCAGTGGACTACTGAAAACAAAGGAAAGCATTTTGTCAATGAAGACTTGTGTAATACAAGCGTAACGTAACCTCTTTCTTGGGAAACTGAGAATCCAGAAGGTGATAGCCAGTCTCCTGCCTTGCAACTTGAATTACTTGTATTTGTTCTGGTTTGGAGTTTTATGCATGAATGTATAAAGAGTTTTAAAGCATGTGTACGGGCATGCAAAAAGGTTGTTTTGATGTGGTATGCCAGGTGTCCCATGGTACCTGAGTGTGCATGTGTTCTTTATCCCATAGCTAAAGCAAGGAAGTTTCTCTCAATAAAAATTACCAGCTACCCCATTGCTGTGGAGTAATAGTTTGGATGCAAGTGGTTATTGCAGGGTAGAAGTGACTTCTCTCAAGCCCACAGTATCCCACCCTTCAGTCACAGTAACAAGTGCTTCAGAAAAAAAAACTTAAATTTTAATTTTATGAATGTTTTTGAAACAATATGCCAAAAGTTAATTTCCTTCTAACTTCTCTCCAAAAATTACCTCAAGCTATGAAGTTTACAAGTTCTTTCTGTGCTTGGTAACCCCACGTACAAGCCTGCCAGCTACCCTCAAGAGATGTGGGGATTTCAAGAGTTTACTCTAGCTAGCCTTTCATATCTAATGAGTTATTTTTATATCCTGTATTTTGCCTAAATATTGTATTTTAAAGTACATTTAATATATCTAGATTATGATCCTTCTAAATTGACTATAATTTACATTGATTTCAATGCTAGTTCTGGGCATTATTTCACACTACATTTATTTAATATTGCTCATGAAATTCCCCGCAGTTGTGCTGTAAGGAGGCATAAATATTACACTTCAGGATGTTCTGAGGTGCAGCTGCAGCATTTAATACCCCTGTATTGTCTGGGATGGGCACTGTCAGGTCTTCTTGCTCCTCCCTTTGTAATTAGCCACAGAAAATTTTTATAGGTACTTATATCTTGGTTTCAAGGATTACTTCATTTAGTAACTTGCTTTAAGCATGAAAGGGGTTTTTAGACAATGAGATTAAAGCTCTCACATTATCATTTACCAGCTGCTGTATTCATGACCCCAAGAGGAGTGTACATAAGGTTAAAAATGGGGGTCCCTCTCAGAAGTGAGTGTGGGAACAGCTTGTTGAATATTCCTACTGTGACTTTGTGCTTCAGCTTCACAGCAGATTAGACCAAATCCTTGTTCAAAGATCAGATAGGGAAGTGGAGCATTAGAGAAAGAAAAGCCTCTCACCCAGATGGTCCTATAGAACTTACTTGAACCTCTTGGCTCTGAGGCTTTGTGGCTTCATGTTGTTTGGTGACAGTACCACAATAAAATGACTTTACTTTTTACATCAGTTACAGTCTCAACCTCAGGTTGAATGATACTGAATAGGTAAAAGATAAGCTGAACTAATGATTCTCTTGGTAAGCTCTCGTTGTATTAATTCTCTGAATAAGATGGATCTAAAGATGATAATTAAAAAGGATACCAAGGGCACTGGTTGTACAAATGAATAAATCTTCCCTCAGCTTTAATCAAATGTTTCTGCCAAATGATGCAAGTAAGTTGAATGTAAACAATCACAGAAGAGGAATAGCATAGCCTAGCTACTTGCATGTGCTGCTGTGTCTGTGCTAGCTGATACTCTGAATCCAGACTTTTCCAAATTGGCATGTATAGACAAGTTTGTATACGCACCTAATTGTGTTATTCTGTAGAGTTGCCCCCTTAGTTCCAGTCTTCTTGGCTGCTAAAGATTACAGAAGTGCAGAAAGTACAGCTTTCCTGCAGAGGGAAAGGACTGGTAAGATTTTGTGCAATGGTTCACTGTTGCTTGTATTTTTGTACCGACAAAGATGCTGCATTTTGTAGTGATGATGGCACAATCCTAGTCACAGTATTCTACGTTGTTGGTGAGACTGTTCATTGTTTACTACAAATGACAAAGCATTACCAGCAAAATATTGTCAGTCTCTGCCTGAAACTACATGGATTCACAGTCATCATAAAGTTGTGTTTCCCGAGAACATCAAGGAACTAGGAACAAGGAATTCCAGTGGTGCCACAGTATATTGTTTTAATAACATCTAATGATCAAGAAAAGATTTTTGATGCTGCAGACAAACTGCTGCTTCCATGATGTAGAACCTTGTCTCATACCTTATTTTCAGCTCATTGGCGGTGTGTGGACACTGGAGATACGGAATCATGATGGTTCTGTGTAAAAATATTATGTAGTAGGGGGGTCACCCCTTTTGGGAGGGATGAGAAAGGTTTTGTATCTGTAGCACACCACAATCAGTAATATGAACCTATCAGATTCATATTTTCACATTACTACTGTGATTAGCAAGTCTTCTTGATGTATTGTGGTTGTGTCCTTGTGAGGATTAATGGTTATTCTTTTATCGTGGCACTTTTTTCTCTGCCAAAATCCGTTTTATGAGGAAGCAGTTTTTATAAGTGTATCTCACTATTTATTACTGGCTAAATACAATTGGTGCTTTCACTTCTCTACAGTGCTGCAAGAAAGCACAGTATAGTTTAAAGATGCAAACTTTACTTTGAATGCTAGAGAGAATTAATAGCTGAATTTGAATTTAATTCATACAGGCTATGATATGCAACTGCTGAAAGGTTGAAAGGTTTTATGAGTAAGTGTAAATCACGGACATGCTTTAGTACTGTTCTAAGGAAAGCAAGGACTGTGTGAACTTGGTTTTCACTTGACAAAATCATCAGTATGCAGTTTTCTACCTAGTTCTCCTTTGCATACCAGACTTTTGTCTCTGAAAACTAGAGAACACGTTTACGAGTTGAGTTCATGTCTTTTTTTTTAAGCTCTTTTTCTCTTGGCCAAAGAAACTGTGGCCTGAGGGGGCAGAGGGGAAAGCAGAAACATTTTCCTAGAGTGTATACTGGGATGTTGTTCCTGTCCTTCATATGCTTTTGCATTATTCCCCTAACACCATGAGTAGACTATGAGGTCTTTTAGTTATGAACATGGAGAAGGATCAAAGTCTCAGCTGTTTGACAGAGTTCTTTATTTGTATGGTTCTAGTAACCATAATAATAATAATGTTTCCTAGTGGAGTGCAATTATAGCTTGTATTTGTGAAAACCATTTCACGTTGTCAGTCCTCAGAAAAAAAATAGCACGTTTATCAGATTGCGTTTCTCTGAGCAAATCAAACAAGGTCCTATTTCATGTATTTTAGTTAGTCTTGCTCAAAAGTCTGTGAGTATAAGTCTCTGGTATCCCAGCTGGATGGTTCCTGTGGAAGTAGTTGCCTTAACACTGTGTGCCAAAGAGGCCTGATGTGTTGTTTTATTCTGTAGAAACTTTTGCAGAAAGATGCAAGATAAAGTTCTTCTTTAGTAAAATCCACATACTACTTCTGGTAAGCAATTGTTGTTCTTCCTTCCCATCTGATCCATACACAGATGCACAGACACATTCATAGCATGAAAAAGTGTTATTAGTGTAGGAAAAAAGGAATATATGGCACAAAGAGGAAGTTGTATAATCTTGGTTTTGATTTGCTTGTGCTAGAAGAATTGTGTCATGTAATGGAGTCTAGCAGGAGGTATTTGAAGCATTTAGGTGGTTATGGGAGTATTCAACATGTTTTTATGGTAAAGTATGAAAATTAATGGTAGATGAGGTTGCTAAATGGAAGAAACAAGAATTGTGATTCAAGAAAAATACTTCAGCACAAGCATTTTATGTTATGGGCTGACCCCAAATGGTTGAAAAGCTCCAAAGGAGACACTTTGCTTAATTGCGTGTCTTATGTGAAGTTAACTAGTGAATTCTCTTCTTCCATACAGTTGTGTTGATACAGGTATTGATTTCACCTCCTCTGTGTACTACTGAAATACTGGATTCAGCCTTCACATATGGCATATTGGTTTGGTTTTCCCATTCTTTTTCTCTTTTGTTTTTTTTCAGAGGTAGCTAGTTAACTCGTTTATTAGAGACACAGGGAAATGAAGCTTAAGTTTAAGGGCCCCTGCATTTTAGTATTTGCTCTGTCATGGGTTTACTTGTCTGTTCATGGGTGAGCTTTGTTACTTCTGTACCTCAGTTTCCCAATGTATGAGATATGCTGAAATTTAGGTAGGGATCCTAAACACTTAAGGGGCCTCAGGCATCTAATGTGTTTGAAGGGGGTCTAGTGAAGGCCAATGATCACTTAAACGTACTAACAGGTAAATTGTTATGTTTGCTAATCATGTTATCACATAGTGGAATTGAAGGAGTAATCAGAGACTACTCAAGTACAAGGTTATCACTAGCTGTTTTTTGTGAATTTTCTGTCTTTATTTGTTCTTTTAGATGCTATAAACATCTAAATTTGTTGTAATATTGCCTTTTTTGCTAATATATGCTACTTCATCATGAATGATCTTTAGTAGTTCAAGGGATTTATCTATTGGCTATTTCCTTGTTTTTTGCTTTACTGGAAATTATTTTTTTCCATTCGCTTTTGAGGAAGTTTACTGCATAGCTGTATCCTAGTGAATTATAATAATTTAATCAAAAAGGGAGTTAAGTTGGGTTTCATTTATGGAAAGAGGGCACCAAGACAGTAAAATGTTATCTGTACACTTCTGATGAAAAAAAGAGGATAGGTGAGATGGGACACTTCTCAGTAGGGCCTGCACCAACAGGACAAGGGGTAATGGTTTTAAAATGAAGGAGGAGAGATTTAGACTAGCTATAAGGAAGAAATTTTTTACAGTGAGTGTGATGAAGCACTAGAACAGGTTGCCCAGCAAGGTGGTGGATACCCCATCCCTGGAAATGTTTGATGGTGCTCTGAGCAACCTGATCTAGTTGAAGATATCCGTGCTCACTGCAAGGGGGTTGATGACCTTTAAAGGTTCCCTCCAACCCAAACTATTCTATAATTCAATGTGGGTGAAAGAGCAGTTAATA